TGAAAGAACAAACAAGCATTATATTTATAAACAACTAATAAATTGGTGGGATGCATTAAAAAGTGATTGGGTTTTGTGGAATCAACTCTTAAAGCGAGAAACGGGATTAGGGTGGAATCATGAAAAAGGCACAATTGATGCTACTCCTCAACAATGGGCTGAATTGAAAGTGGTTAGTTGTATTCTTTTATTGTTAATGATTTTTAGTTTTTTGCATGTAACTTTGTTAATTTTAACTTTAAACTTCTAATATGTTATATTTATTATAGGAGAACAAAGAATATGGTAAATTTGAGCATCATGGATTAGAAAACACAGTAGAGTTACAGCAAATGTTTGACACAATAGTAGTCACCGGTGAAACTGCATGGACTCCAGTTGTTGAGCCTATTCCTCCAGAACAACAAAATGTGGGGTTTGAAGATGCTATTGATTTGGAAGAAGGAAATGGTGATTCTGATGAGGTGAATGTCATGCCAACACAAACCGGTGGAATCAATGAAAAAAAGAAGAAAAACACAATTGGTCCTTCACTTACCAGCAAAGGAAAGAAAGTGAAATTAAGGGGTGTAGCATACGTGCAGAGACAATTGAATCGTCTTTGTGATGCAGTTGAAAGTTATACCATAACTAGTTTGAGTGAATCATCAAAGACGAATTATGAAGCACATGTTGATAGCACTGAAGAATGTATGGAGATGTTGTTAACTTTACCTGAAGTTGAAGATGGAAATGAGCTTTTTATGTTAGGTACTCGTTTGTTTGTGAAACGAGAATATAAAAATATGTTTAAGAGTATAAAATCAGTTAACTCAAAACTTTCTTAGCTACAGCAAGAGTCAAAAAGGGACAAGATAAGGTTTGAGGTGGAGAAGGAGAGATTCAGTAGTAGAAAGCATTACTAGGATGTTTGTATTTGACTTTTTAGTATTAAGACATTCGTAATACTTGTATTTGAGATACAAAACTGTTTACTTTTTTATTTTGTATTTTCGTTATATGTGGACTAATATTATGAATTTATGTCTTTTTCGTAATGTTGTTGCTTATAAATTGGACTGGTGGTTTATAGTTCAAATAAGGATTCCATATTAATCCATGTTTAGGTTATCACTTATCTTGAAATATTAAGGTTTTTTTTTTTTTTTGTTAATTTGTAAAAGTTAATAAAAAGTTAAAATAATATGATTCATACAATTTAAAAATTAATGGTGTCCACATTATCTAAAAGGGAAGGGGCAATTTGCATAAGTTTTAAAATTAAAAGTGTAGATTTTACATAAAAATAAGTTTTGGGGTTAAATCATTACAATCAAAGAATTTTAAGGGCTAGTAAACCTTTTTACCTTTTATATCAAAAGTAGCAATATGGACACTTGTGATGCAGATTCTCAATAGCTAAGGACAATAGGCATGCACAGCCCAAAAGCTGATTTCAGTGCATGCGTTGGGATAGTAGGCATGCACTGCGCAAGTGTTGTATTTCAATCATATCAAAAAAGAAAGTTTATCTTAAGAAAAGATTTCTCAATTACATGAAAAAAAAAATCTAAACATACATAAAAACACAACACCCTATTTAAATCACAACACCCTCATGCATTTCTCCCAAATTCAATTTACGTCTAAGAGTTCAAGAGTTCAAAAGTTCATTTATTGTTCAACTTAAGAGAAAGATAAAAAGGTATGTTATCTTTTTTTTTTTTTTTACATTTTTAATTTAGTTGTAAAAATAATTAGATTGGTTTTTTGTGTTCATATGTGGATCCTAATGTTTTTCTTTTTCCTGGTAGATGGATTTAGATCCAAGGTGGAATTATGAAAATAGTGATGAGTGTGAGGTGGAGGAAGAAAATAGTGATGAGGATGTGATGGAGGAACAAGCCATAGAACAAAGAGAAAAGCAGGTGGAAGGTAGACAAAAAAGAGATAATATCTTTTATTCTTTTGTTCACTTAGGTGCTTCAATATCTTCAAAATATATTTCAAAATATCTTAACAAACAAAAAAGAAGAGTTTCAAGACTTTCAGGTTGGTAATGGATGCAAAAGACATTGAAAACTCCAAGTGAAAGTTATAAGTAATTTAGAATGGAACCACATGTTTTTACGAGATTATATTCTTTGTTAGTTAGTAATTATGGCCTAACATCAACAAGAGAAATATGTGCAGAAGAATTACTTGCAATGTTTCTTTGGACATGTGCACATAATCAATCTAATCGAAATGTGCAAAATCGTTTTAAACATTCGGGACAACAATCAATAGAAAATTTGGTGAGGTTCTTGATGCAATGGTGAGGTTTTCAAGTGATATTGTGAAACCACCTGATTATAATTTTACCAAAACTCCCAATAAGGTTGGACAAGATAATAGGTTTTGGCCTCATTTTAAAGGATGTATTGGTGCAATTGATGTTACACATGTTAGAGCCACGATCCCTGAAGAAGACCTAATACCATTTATAGGTCGCAAAGGCATCTCCACTCAAAATGTGATGGTAGTTTGTAATTTTGACATGATATTTACATTTGTAGTTACAGGGTGGCCTGGATCTACTCATGATGCACGTCTTTTTACCCATACATTGGAAAATCATAAGGATGTGTTTCCTCATCCTCTTGATGGTAATAATTTTCTATTTATTTTGTGTTATAGTTTTTAAGCACAATTCTTAATGAATTTTTAAGAAAGTTTTCCGTTTTTATTATTAATGACTTCTCTCTTATATTTTAGGCAAATATTATCTTGTTGATGCTGGTTATCTTAATATAAATGGATATTTCACACCTTATAAAGGAGAAGGGTATCACATTCCTGATTTTAGATGTGAAAGCCAACTAATCAGTTATCAAGAAGTATTCAACCATGCTCATTCTTGTCTTAGAAATGTCATTGAATGATCTATTGGGTGTTGGAAAAATAGATTTGAAATACTGTTTGGCATGCGAAGTTATTCATTTACAACACAGAAGAAGATAGTAGCTGCAACCAAGGTTTTAAAACTCGAACTAGGCATAAAACAAGTTTGCTCACCGGTTCTCAATTTGATCAGTCCAACCGGTTCAATCGCCGGCTGGCGGGTCAAAGGAAAAATGCAAAAACAGAAGTGCAGTGTTTTCCTGGCATCATTCTGCTGCAGTTTTCTCTTTTTTTTCCTTGCAGTTTGTAGCAACCACAAGTCTAAAAACTCAATAAATACATTAAAAAAAATCCAAAAACTCAATAAATACA